TTGCACGTGTCGATGTACGCTACGCCCTGAGGATCGCTGCTTCGTAGAAGGAGCAGATCGGCCGGCACGAGTTCGTTGTTCGAGAGGTGAACCAGGTCACCGACCTTCACATCTTTCCACGCTACCCTTGCATACCTGTCGTCCTCGCTGTAATCACGCACACGTTATACAGAAAAAAATTTGTTGCTTCTTTTCCTCTTATATATAAACGAGAAATTTGAAATGGAAAAGGAGAAAAAGAAAAAGGAAATGATTTATGAAAGGGGATTTAGATTAAAGAGTATACGAGATGTATACAAAGTGCTTGATTATATTCGTTTAAACTTAAACAATAGTTCAATTTTCTTCGTAAGCGACTAGTGGAACAAGATCTTCGCAATCGACGACAATTGTTGATATATATATGTGTATATATATATATATATATGTATGTATGTAACAATAACCAAACTGTCACAGCGGTCAAACATCTATTATTTCTTAATTGATTGTCATCGTTGTTCAACGTTTCCAGTCACAAGATGTTTATTGATGAAAAAAATTGTCAAATAGGATTTCACTCTGTGTAAAATGGAAAAAATGTGAATAAAAGAAAAAAGAGAAACTTAATGCTGATCATTTGAATTTGAATCATAAACGAAGATTAAATTCTATGGTTTAATCATTTTTTTTTTCTTCTTCTTGCTCAATGAATACATTATTCAAAATTGTACATTTCCAGTTCTTGATCTTATTATCATTAAATTTTTGCATAGAACGTGCAGAGAATCGGTGTATTTTTAGATTCATGAAGCAAGCATTTAAACGGATTACACAAGGCCACGATATCCCGTTAAATTAACAATTTTCCTTGTTGGATTATATTTTTATTAAAAGATTATAGTAAAATGAGATAATCATTTTAATACAAAAGGGATTGGTCGATTTATTGATTTGAAATAAATAAATAAATAAATTCAAGATAGAGATAATTAAGATAATTTATATAGAGAAAATAATTTCAACACTTTTTGATTTTTGGACCGAGTGAGATTTCTTTTTTTCGCGTTCGTATACACGAGAAACGAATAAATCTGACCTAGACTTCCATTTAAGAGGTCGCCATTATGCGTCCTTTTTTGTCGCCAGATAAGAATCATTGATCTCTATAACCTTTGTAACCTAACTGGAACCATTTACTTTATATCTTCTTCTACTTGTTTTAACCGAATGCATATATGCTTCGAGGAATGTACATATAAAAATACATCCTATTATTAGAAGGAACGAGAATATAATATCGAAACGTATTATCAACGTAAAATATTAAATTTATTTTTTTTAATATATAGTAAAATTTATTCTTGCATTTTAATTATTACAGCAATAAGTCAAAGATTTAAAATACTCAGAAATAAAATTAATATTCACTATTAATTCTTTCTTTATTTTAGAATTAAATTAACCTGTACTTTGTTTGAGAACAAAGATTTATATATAAATATATAACTTATGCGACGTCAAGAATAAGAGAAGGAAAAATTCGATGTATTAATTTATAACTCGCATCTGAAATAAATCGAGTTTTTAAAATAATGTCTTTTTAACGACGATCGAAGTTCATAAAATTTGACACACAAGAATTTGACATTTTTCTTTCGTTCTCGAGATTGTTCGGGGAAAAACACCGATTTAATATTATTATTCTTCAACAATATAAATTTAACAAGTTTATCACTTTAAAAAAGTCTTATCACTTTTCGTATTTAAAATAGATTCTCACGTATTATTTCTCGCGTATCCGATATTAATTATCGATTTATAGAAGGCATATTTTAAGCAAATGGAGTATTCCATTCATAATCAATTTATTACAAATACGTTTCCGTTCACGATGAGAAGTCTGCCTCGTTTAAATTTTAATAATAAGCGAAGCGCCGATGAATCGAACACGATGGCAAGGTAGGTAGCCTTAGAAATTCTTTCATCTAACACATTTTTGTTATATATATATATATATATAAGGTGCTATTAAATATGTATAATAATAGTTTCAAACAATTTTTTCTCCAGTAATAATTATTCTAGAAAAATATTAAAATGATATTTATCAATGATATTTGTTTGGTTGTAGATAATTTAACAAAAAATTTCCAACGTGCGAATTAACACGAAACTATTGATAAAAAAATTTCAAAGGATTCGTTATTACCGATCGATCATGTTATCTAACGAAAGAATTCCAACAAAATAGTTTCTTTAAACTTTGTTCCGCCGTCTTTTTACTAATATATTTATATTATTTTTCTTCCATTGAATTATCAATTCCATTGACATCATTATAATTATGCAAAAATAAAAATTGCTGATAATAATTTTAAGTCGTTAATAAATATGTATTAACTTTTGAGATACTTATTATCGACCTATATTATCATTTTTTAATTTAATTTTTTTGAAAATGAACGATCACTTTTTTTTTTGAAAATAAATGATTATTTTAAGAAATTTGAATCTTTATCGAAAGGATTCGATTATCGAATCTTTCCGTACACTATCGAAATCGTCTCTCGAATGATCTCGAAAAAAATGCATAGATATATTCATTACGCGAAATCAATTTATATTTTTGTTGCAATATCTTATTTATCGTGGCATTATTTGTGACAATAAAAAATGTAATCGTGATAAAAATTGATAAGAATGAAACGATGCACCTGGGAAAAGTCATTAAGATTCTCGTAACTGATTGAAGAACGAAATAAATTAATTACGAATATTTTACGTTTCAACGTTTCAACATTTCAATTTTACGTTATAGGTGGATAGAAAGATGTAGAAATGGGTAATTATCGACAAATTGCATTGTATCGACAAATGTGTTATCATTCGTATCCAGGAAATGATCGAGGAAAATAGTTCAAAGGTTATGGCAACTGGTTTTATTCGTAGATTTTCCTTTTTTTTTTTTTATTTTTCGTCTTCAATTAAGTTAAAATGATAATCGTTTGGAAACTAAAAGAAAAAGACATTTTTACGAACACTCATGTTTTAAGAAACTACATTGCGAGTTATTTGACGCGATAACGACAACAATATGGTAAACAAGAGATATCGATCTTACCTGTGGTTCCACGTGAACCACATGACATTATGTTTTTAAAAAAATGATCAAATTTGTAAAACAAGGATATTTGTACAATAATTTCTGTAATTTTTTGTACTAGAATAAGTAAATTACATCCATATATGATACATAACATTTATTTTGTATCACACGCGACTTTTGCAAGTAGGAAATGTATTCTTTCCATTTTAAAATATATATAACAACTACTTTGACATGAAAAGTTAACCTATAATATATACGTTACAAACAATCATTTTTCTATATAAACTGAAAGAAAGTTTTTTCTCTTGGTATAATTATTGAAACGATTTAACGTATAAATTCAGATAATAGTTTGAGAAGGGCATGGAATTAGAATCGCGTGACAATATCTCGCGAGGGAATGCCACGTCGCGCTATATAACGATATACAAGAGCTCGCGACCCACATAACCTCGAACCAGTCAAAGTGTATTAATCGAACTGGAATTCGTGGCGAAGGTCTGCTTGTTCTTGACATTGCAGAGTATCGCGTGGAAAGCGGTGTGACTGACTGTCGATCTCGTCACTGAACGAAATTAAACGAGAGGCCTAAAGAAGGTCATCGAGCGCGTGCGTGTAACCGCGTATTAAGTGGGTAAAGGTCGCAAGAAACACACGTTACCACGGAAGAAAGAAAGAAAGAACTTCTCGTTGTATCGGTCTGTATCTAGTGCTCGAGTTCATACTGATTCTTTTAACTGCGATTGAACACGTAAATACGCCCCCACTTAAACGTTAACGAGATTCGATTAACAGTATCACTGATCAAATCGATCGCGTATGAAGATTCTAGGTTAACTTCGTCACGTCTATTTCTCGCGAAGGAAACAAGCCAAATAGCTGAAACACTTTTGTGTCGATCTTTCAATTCTATTTTTAACAATCAAATTTCAATGTTAAATTTGGTCTCTAATGATAAAGGAACGATATCTTTGGCTTTGCTCTATGAACTATACATATCTCTAAAAAGGAAACGAGGCGAAACGAAACGAACTACGATCGTAACGACGCGATGCATATCTCCGGTATACGCATAGGTCGGTTTATGTTAATTCAAGATCGTAACGCTGGTTAATTACGTGTATCGGTTGGAATGGTACACTGTGATCGAAATAACGGAATGTAGGTATGTATGTATGTATATATATATATACGTATGTACTGATCGTTCGATTTTAAGCAGAAGGATAACAGAGTCTTCTACGGGAAAGCACGCAACCTATACACAGTTCGCAATTTTCCCTCGACCTCCTTTCCTTTGCGCTTCTCGAAAACGTCTGTCAGCCCCGTTAGCTTTCTTTCAATGACGATGAATTCTCTCTCCCTCCCTCTCCCTCTCCCTCTCTCTCTCTCTCTCTCTCTGTCGCTTTCGAACTTATGTTAGCATCGTCTGATTGAACATTCTTCAATACTGCCGTTTCCGCCGATCTTTTCACAGGAAAACATCGATCGATGAACAGATGATATATTACAAAGAAAATCAATAAAACGGAGATCATTACAGTCTTAAACAATTTATTTTTATTAGTAATATATATTGTATTTTACTATGCAATGAAATGATATATATCCCTATTCTTAAAGTCTTAATAAAATTATATTTACTTGAAAATTTATTAAAAATTGTACGCAATTAAAATTCATGACTTTTATCAAATATTAATTTGTATTAAAGAAATAAATTCTAAAACTTTTGAATGTAATATATATATATATAGATCTCTAGTTTTGAATGAATATTTCTATAAATTTATTCATTACTCATTTACATTAATCATGATATTTACATTAAGTAATTGATAATTAAATTGTAATTGGTTATGCAAATATCACCTAACGATATAAAATGAATAATTAAAAAAAATTTTTAAAAACGACAAAAAGAAGATTGTTGGAGAAGAAAAATGATAATAGAACATAATTTATCATAAATTAATTAAAGATCTTTGATTGAATATGCGGAATATAATCAATGCATCAAATATGGCAAAAAACTGACGATTACTAATTCAGTAATCACCTATGTGATACAAGACAATTCTATAACTCGTATCCGGGACAGGAAAAAAGTATTATCTATGAGAAATATCGAAGTGATTTCAATCGAAGGCCACGATCGGACTCTAAGCAGACAGAGGTGCATTAATAAATCAGCAACGACTCGTTTAGTCTACCATATTACATTTTCTCGGGCAAAGCGAAGTGATAACTTTGAAAAAAGGGGAAAATTAGAAGAAACTGAGTGGCGTGACGAAGAATAAGATCAGAACGTTGTATTATTTTACAAATCGTTCTATTGCGTGCTGGAATCGTTGCACATCGATCGTTTTGCGAAATTAAGTTATATTATAAATGATATACAACAATCGTTGCTACCAACCGATATTTATTTTCGCTGTCATTTTTGAATCATAAGTGGTATAATATATATTTAAGCATCTTAATCTTCCTGATCAAATCTTTATTAGATCTTAATCACGGTTCAGAATTAATAATTACAAAATTGGCAATAACGAAAATATATTTTTCTTGAATATATTTCGAAATATATTTTATCTTATTCAAACATTTTTAACAATTTTAATAATTGTATCGATTATCTATATATAGATATATAATTTTTTAACGATGATTGATCTATCAAGTTGTAATTTATTTATTGATCAATATCAATTACAAGTTGGACAGAAATATTTTTATCATAATTATCGTACATCGAAGATATCTCGATTGAATCGAAACGTTCGACAGACTTCGATAGTCGATACTACGATCGCAAAATCCTTTCTATAAAGCTAATAGTGGTTTACTTTACGTTACGTATTTATCCATGTAATTTTAGAGAATGATCTAAAATAAGCAAATTAAGGTAAAAGATGGAGATGGAAATAAAATGAGATATTTGAAAATAATCGATACGATTTGTTCCAAATCATCCGATTCCTTTCCCTTAACCTTAAAAATCAACTAACCTAACATTCTCAGCATAAAATGTAGATGCAGATTGATCGAAGGTAATTCTATTTCTAGACAGATTTAACGTTGTTTATTAAAATATGATACTATTTTAAGATCTTCTGGCACACGCCTATTATAACTACCTTGAAATTCTTCCTCAGCACAAGGAAATAAATATATCGATAAAATTGGATATGCAGTAACAATGGTTAAATAAGGAAAGAAATGCAATGATAATCATAATTTTGAAGACGTACTTCGTGTTCACTATTATCTTCCATTCTTTACGAACTACTTTCCCATTACATTTTTTGATCAAATCACACGGTTGATAAAAACTTTTGTACATTCGGAGACAATATCGATCGGAAAATTAAAGTTCCAAACACGAACCACGATAATTCTCTTCCACGATAGAGGGAACACTTTCCTTTCTACGTTTGGCTGACCATTTGTGCTCAATCCGCATGCCTTCGATTAACAACCAATGCCATCGAAATTCCTCGGTCAAAGAAACGGTAAATGAGAGAGGTAAAGGAACGTTCGAAACGTCCATACCAAAAAGAAGATTGCGTAAAATACGAAAATTTATCCATCGAAAACCGATTCATCGCGAAAATATCTTCGTTAAAAAAAAAAAAAAAAGCGACACTTATTTTAAACTAAAATTTGTCACCAAGAATATCAAATACGTATTTTGGCACTGCTTTCGATTTATTCTCACTTAGCCTTGAACCCTTCTATTTGAATGATTCGTTCTGCGAGATTACATAAAGTTCTTTAATTTTGTAAAATAGAATTGATGAAGTGAACGAGTACGCGCATGATTCAATAACCTAACCTAAATCCCAACACAGGCCTATTTACTATATTCGGTCATTTTAATCGACGACTTCAATAATTCACAAGATATTAATCAATTTTAGAAAAAATTTTTAAAGAAACTATTACTTACGTTGAAAAAGATTATAATTTATACGAAACCAGCTGATATTTATCGTAGAGGAATCTAAACAATGTTTCCCCGACAGTACATATTTTTCGAATAAATATTTTTTTATTCGAGATATATTTTCCTTCATGCAAAATAAAGATATCCATATTATTCTAAATATTAATCAATTTATAAAAAAAAATATTATTATTATTAAACTTATTAAGTATCTAATTACTAAATATCTTACTTTGTTCAATTAGCAAAACAGTTTGTAAAATATTATAAAACGTCCATTGAAGATGTTACTTACCGAACGTAGACACGACAAGTGGAATTATTTACACGACGATCGCTGATAAGCCTTCTACGATCCTCGAAATAATCTTTCAACGCTGTCACACCGAGCACAAAAATGATGGGTATCACGGAAATCTCCTTGCCGAAGGCATTTATAACCGGCACCCAATTAAGTAGAACGATAAATACAAAATATATATTGGCCACACGGCGGAATTGTTCGAAAAAATTGCGAGGTAGGAAGCTCAGCAAGGTGTACTTTGTCGTACGTACTCTGAAAGCATATAAACGAATAAACCGGAATTCAATTACGTACAATATCAAATTTTCACTTTCGTCTCGACTTTTTTGATTCCGCCAACGGCGTGAAACGGAAGGAAGTATAAGTAAGTATTTTTAAATGATTAAATTACCTATTATTCACTCTCTTCCCATTCGGATGTTGACTCGCTGGTGTTTTTGGCGGCACCAAATGATTCGGTACTATCGTTCTTAAACGAGGCTCCTCCGGTAACGGGCCAAAGTATCGAGCCCAAACTTTTCTCCACCAAGGAGGTTCAATGCTACGTCTTATCGTATATATCGACTCTGATCTATAAAATAACACGAAGATAAAAAAAAGAGATGACGACAGATATTTATAAAAATTTGTAATAATCAACTTATAGATAGATGCGTTCAACGTGCGTAACGAATATTAACCAAATAAATTTGACTGATATTCACAATGTTTTACAGCTTTTAAATTTACACGACTGGCATCGTGTATTCATCCCGAAATTTGAGCCAAAATACGAACTTTGAACGACGCAATCTTCTACGTTTAACGGAGAACGTTTTACGTGATCGCAATAAAAATGGTATACCTACTCGTCTCTCTCTCTCTCTCTCTCTCTC